AGAGGATGCGGATGCTGGAAAGAGAATTTGGTCCCAAGGCTAAAAGCAAGGACGAAGGCAAAGGTCTAGTGGACGAGGAGGGAAAACCTTTCGTGGGCACCGTCGACGAGAAGGGCAATTTGGTGACTGTCGGACCAAAGAAGAGAATATTTGTCCGGACCTTACAAGTTTTACTTGCGGCTGGCGCATGCATTCCTGCGATATACGCAGCTGTAGTAAGTTTTGCTATATATGATCTCTGTGCCTTATTGACTTTTGAGTTGGATAGGCCATCAAACAACCAAATTCCTCCGACCCCCCACCACCAGCCAACAAACCCCCGTCTACGTCCTTTATATCTTGTCCACTGTCACACTTCTCCTTCTCCTCTACATGTTCGTCTTCCGACCCTGCTGTTGTGCCCGTTCCAAATCTCGATCGTCTAAGCACCCACTTGGTGGTGCAGCTAACATGGGCATGATGGTCTTGCCTGTCGGCAACACGGGCAAGAAAAACAAGAAAGCCAAGGAGGGCAAGAAAGGCAACGCAAAGTACGGTCCTCCTGGAGGTCAAGGTGACGTTCAGGTCAATCTCATCGTTGACCCGACGGCTTTTCAGCCACCAGACGCCTCTGAGTCCGATTCGGAAGAGGAGGATAGTATGGACGAGGCGATGCCTGGTGTATATGACCGGCAACAGCGTACTCGGAGGAAGAAGAGGAATAGGAACCGGAGAAGAAGGGGGTTTATGGAAGGTTTGGCAATGGAGGCTGAGTGGAAGAAAGCTCGATCTTGGGTGACTAAGCTGGCTATATTGGATGGAGTCGGTATCGTCCTTTGGGGAGCGATGTTTGTGTTCATCATGACAGGGAAGAGGTGTCCAAGTGGCGGTTTCAACGGATGGTAATCCTTTTTACTAAATCATGAAGCAGGTGGCTGATCTCTCTTCACAGGTGCAATGCTTACAACGTCTCAACGGCCTCTGCGTGTCTATTATGTATCACATTTGGCGTGAGCGCATTTTCGATGTACAAGATCTGCACGCTAGCAAGCAGTCACCACGGACGAGAACTAGCTAACACCTCTGATCACTGACATTTGTTACTGGATACCCTGGCATGTGCATTGGCTGTCGTAAGGACCATGGACAGCACATACGGACACTGTTATTGTAATTTTTATCTACTCATTATTTCGGGTATCTGCTTATCTGTATCGCACACGTCGCACGTGGAAGGGTTTTTTGTTTTGTTTTATCTAGTCGCTCATGACATTTACGACCAATTCTGATTTCATTTTGGACTGCCAGGTTACGAGTGCGAAAGATGGAATATACATCGCAAAGGTACTCACGTATGGCATGACTTTTGGATGAGGGCCAATTTACAGCTTCCTTTGCCTGTAAATGCTGGGACCTTCGTTCGTGTCTTGCCACCACTGCCAAGGCAATCCTTCCAACCAGAGGTTTTGTAGTAATTCTTTTGCGGTCTTGTACACCTCTGGTAACTATCTAAGCATCGACAGCATGAATTACAAGAATCCGTCCATTTTCTGTCCTTTCAACCGTTTTTCGATTTCTTGCAAGGATACATTAGGCAAGGTTCAAATCTCAGGATTCTCAACAATGTCCCTATAACATTCAGACACAATACTCTTCCTCAGTCCTCAGGCTCAAGGGATAATCTTGGGCTGCCTAGTGACGATGAAGACTTTGATCTTATGTGGAGCGACGAAGATGAGAAGCCATGATCTGGAAGATCGGTAAAGTACCCAGTTCACCATTTTACTTGGATTTTGTAAGTTATGCTGTATTTTAGCGCTAGAAACTTTGATTCCTTCCATTGACCGTTATAGCTCTTGCGAATGAAGAAGCGAATTAGCGTCATCTTGAGTTTGCCTTCTTCTTTTTGATGGCAAGGCGCCAACGATAATATAGCTGCTCGCCTCCGAAAGCTCGCTCTCATATCTCGTGTGCACTTTCTTTTTCGCCATTTTTCGTCATCTTCGAAGCCATCAAGAATGACTCGGGGTAGCAGATAAACCATATTACCTCTGGAGGAGTTGCTTCTATACATCAGAATTTGAAGCCTGTAAGGCTGTACATGAGTAACGCACAGTGGGTTCGGCATTTCGATACGGATTTATCCGTGCTAGTCCCTAAATTAGTCACCAAGTTCCTTTCTTTTGAAACCATGACGTCCTCATCCACCAGCGCGGCTTTCCCGTTGCAAATCCTCAGTGACCTCCATATTGAGATAGAGCGTTCATCTGAAGCCAGTCTGTATACGTACGATTTTCCTGCAATTGCACCCAATATCGCATTACTCGGGGACATCGGCTGGTCCTGTGACGATCGTTTGTTTGATTGGCTTAGAGCCCAACTAGAACGATTCGAGCGTCTGTTCTTCCTCGTCGGTAATCATGAACCCTACGGATTTGGAGATGACAATACTGTCGTAAGTCCTGTTCTGTTAGAATTACCTGGAAATCAAAGATCTGATGCGGCGGTCAGGATGCTAGCATAGCACGATTTTCAGCCTTCGAGAAAACAGTCGCTTCAGATCCAAGTCTCGGCAAGTTTATTTTCCTTAACAGAACTCGATATGACATCTCCCCTACACTCACCATCCTTGGATGTACACTATGGTCGCACTTGAACCCAGATGATAAGGATATTTTGTCCTGGTCTCTTACCGATTTTAAGAGAATCCGATCATTCACTATGGACGCGTATGAAGAGTTGCATCAGCAAGATGTTACCTGGCTGCGCGAGACACTAGCCTCGATCCGCGAAAGCGAGCCTGAAAGGAAGGTTGTGGTATTCACACACCATGCACCTACTGTTGAAGGCACCGGGGATCCCAAATATTTGGGAGGACTAACAAATTCTGCATTTGCCACAGAACTCGCTACAAAAGAAAGTGGCATTTGGGGGTCTCCGGTTGTAATGTGGGCTTTTGGGCACACTCACTGGTCATGCGATTTTATAAAAGAAGGCATCAGGGTGTATAGCAACCAGAGGGGTTATAAGGACGGCGGGCCTGAGTATGATCCCAGGAAAGCACTAGACTTGAGTACTTTGTAATTCGCCTGCTCTTCAGATGTGTTGAAGCTTCTCATTTGTTCTTGTGGTTTTCTACTTATGATTAAACAAATGATTTACTGTCTTTGGACCCGCATTTGCCAATGCATATAATTGATAGATCATAATAATCTGCAATCATATTTCTAAGTACGTTTACATGAAACAGGGTCTTGTTACACTTTGTAAATCATCTATCGGCAATCCACCTAGTCAGTGGTCGTTAGTTCACAGCGACTTTAACAGGACTTCATTACCGACAAGACTAGAATTGTCTTGCAGGAAGAAGGACCCACAGTTGCGTAGTCCCATGATTTACCGTTAAAATTCAAGACATAGCAGACTGGTCACTGGAAGATATTCTACGACCTCTTGAGGAAGTCGTGTAGACATTTACGCATTTTAATTCATCACGTTGCACGTACTACATTTTTTGGTTTAATTCAATATGACAACCACAATTTCTGCAAATGCAAAGGATAAATACATTGCGAAGGTAAATGCATCTCTCGGTTTTCATCTTCTGTTCCCAACAATCCTTCGTGACATGATTCTTCGTTTATGGGTTAGTTGATGACGTTGGCAATTCAAATAGTTGTCCAGCTATTGATTGACGCGGGCCTCCACCTCTTGACTGTAATTGTGGGATTTTGCTGTCTTCCGCGAAAAAAATGCGTCTTGACATGCTCCTCTAATATGGTAACTTGGGTTGTTGGCAATATGCGATAAGAATTCTTGACGACCAATTGAACCTTCGAGGCGCCAGGATGTCGGCATTACGTTGCCCACGGATGGGCTGAGCGTGTCCGTAGCGAGGTCGGGAATAAGAGCAAATGACGACGAGACTTTGCTTGATCGTAAAGCATATAAGCCTCCAAAGTTCAAGAGAGCTATTGACATACAAAATTCGACATCAGTATCTCTGTGATCCATGGAAGATAATGAAACTCGCCATAAATAATTGAAAATGGACGTTCGAGCTACGCGTCAATCTCATGGGTTCCTCGGTCGACTCGTGCCATTTCTACTTCTTTTGCCACCAATAGTTGTGCCGCTCGGCATGAGCGTGGCAGATGAAGCTTGGGTAATGGGAGTACTAGATCTATCCCTCCTTTCAAAATTGAACACGCCGTGTTGAGGTTGAGGATGATTAAGACCAACGCCTAGGAAAGGGTCATTTCTTTGAACTTGACTCGGTGGCAAGCCGCTGCTTGTGCTTCTCCCTAGATGGGCTTGCAGCCTGCCACCGCCACCCGTGGTTCCACCAGGTTCACCCAGGTTCATCGCGGGTCCCATCATACTCCGCATGAGCGCGTCGATGTCATTAGTAGAGGGTTGAGTTTCCAAAGCGGCTTTGGATCCGCGGAGCAGGATCTTCTCAAATAATTCGTTTTCCTGCAACTGTGCCACCTCGGCGCGAAGGGAGGTCATTATACTTTCGAATATAACTACAGATAATAAAACATAAGTCATTAACTTTCCGAAATGAAGACACAAGGAAAGACACGAATGGGGACGCGACTCACCCTTGCTATCAGCAGGATTCAGTTTATGTTCCAAATCCCAAGCTCGCACCATCTTATGGCCACCGCCAGGTAGAGCAACCGGAATCATGACCAGCACCTCTTTCTCTGCATTCAACTCCTCTTCCCTAGGATCATCAAGTCTGATTCCTCAAGGATCTTGCGTTCGAAGGCCCATGGGGAGAGCTGTGCCTCGGAATCGCTGAACGAAGTTTGGTCCTCGGCATATGCTGTTCCAATGGAAGAAGTTGGTGAAGGAGGTCGGACAACAGGGTCGGCGTATTCGGTATGATGAGTATGAGTTGGAGGTGGGTGAGGGAGCGACATTCAAGTTGGGTTCGAGTTTACAAAAGCCCAAGGCAACCAACCAAGCTGCTTGTACTTTCTTAGGTAGTCGTAAGCTATTGTTTTCTGTGTGGTGCTATAGTGTAGTGGTTATCACTCGGGATTTTGATTATTCAAATCTTCCCGAAACCCAGGTTCGAACCCTGGTAGCACCTTACACATGGGCTCATTTTTTTCTTTTTGTAGAGAACGCTAAAATTGTTTGCAAATCCAGTTAAGCAAGCCTCTTAGTCGTAGGGCAAGTTGCGCACCACGCCGCCTCCTTTTTGCTCTTGTTCTCAGAATGGATTTCACTCTGATCAATTTTTGTATATATTATGTAGTGGTCACGAAGGAAACTTTTTACTGAAGTAAATAGTTAAGAAAAGAATCGGATGATGGGTAATGGTTTCACACAATCACACAAATCACGCAAGGAAGGGTAAATGCATCGGGTAGTCGGTCTTGAGAACGTCCGAGCTGTTGCGGCTCGCCGAGGACGAGAATGCTTACTTTTTTGAAAGGCTTGAGGCGATGCTTGTTTCTTGAGGATCACGCAAAAAGTGGAGGAAAGATAGAAAGCGGAGAAATTGAACAAAGAGGAATGGAGAGAAAGATAGGAGAGGAAACAAAGATCGTAGAAGTGAAGCAGGTGAAAATGTCATTGCAGCTACTTAAACAGTGATTAGAACAGCTGACATTTGTTTGATGAAATATGAAATACTAACCTCGGAGCGTAAACAGGAAGCGAATGTGTTTGTAACTCGCGGTGGGCGAACATAAGGCCATGTTAACTCAGCGTGACATGGACGCATCGGAGGAAAACGCGAATGTCTGTTCTGGAGAGATCGCCCAGCATGGACAAGTAGAAAGCTTCCTGACGGGAGTTCTGTCAAGTAACTTGAAGCACAATGAGTAACATGACATCGCCTGGAGAACCCATCACACAACACACCATTTGTTATCCTCGACTAACAGCGACCAGACGCCGTGGTAAAGGTGGCGCATGGCGCGTTAGCAAGCTTCATAGCGTCGGGGCCAGCGAGATATGGGTTGACGGTCGACATGCAGAAGCCTATGGAGTACAGTGAGATGAGGTACTGGTTGAACTAAGCAGTGACTAACCATTGTACTTGAGATGTCCACGGCTCGCACAGCAAAGCAGATATGATGGCGATGAAGGGAGGAGCTAGGCTAGAGGAGGATACCTAGCCTCGAGGAAGGACAAGCAGTAGCAGTGAAGATGGGCGAGCGAGACAGAAGAGCATCTCGTCTGCTGCACAGTGAAGTCGGGAGAGAAGGGGCGACTTGACTGAAGATCACAATCGTCTCCATTTTGCCCCCTTTATATATCTCTCCAGGGCGTATGGTCTTGTTTGGTCGTGGTCAGCCCTGGGAGGCTGACCCTTAGAGGCTGGCCGAGTAATGTGGGCGACCAGCCGCATGCACTCGCCCACAGTGAGCTGGCGTGGCATCTGGAAAAACATGTGCTGATCAAGTATCCGATTAGGAAATTTGCTTCTTCGGCAAACGATTAAGATCGAAGGGCGACTCTTGAGATTGGGGTTCGATAACTTCGATTGGGCTGACGGTTGGTGTAGTAACGAGCATGAGCATTAGCATGAAGGTGAACATGTTCGATCCGAGGATAATGGGACAATGGCACCACAGAATCGCCTTGCTATTCATTCCACTTCCTTTGTGCGGACGTTCTCGTGCTTCGAGCTGCTGTTCTGCCCTTCAACCATCCTGATACGGAGCCATCCGGAAGCCCGCCATTCATTGAGCTTCAAGTTTCCTTGTGTGGAAACCCCAATACAAATGCCAAGCAGTTTTTCATGAGGGCGATATCAACCTATTACAACCGAAGTGGGTCGAAGAGGGCGTAGAGTGATGGATTGGTTCAGGATGACTGCGCGATCGATCAATCAATCGATCAATTAGGCGCCCACACCCGCTTTAAGGAAATTTCTCGGGCCGCCATCCGTCATCATGGTCTTGTGACACGGAACAGCAAGCTCAGTTCTCCAGAGTCAAATTCTTCTCTTTGTTGCTGGTTGTGTCTTTCCTGGCAGTGACTCGAAGTCGAGATGCATGGCTATACGTTCTGAATCTATTCCATCAGTGGGACCCTCGCCTGACCTTATCCGATCCACCTAAGTCGTGCGACGTGAATAGCAATATCCAAGACTTGGGCACCATTTGACAGAGCTGTCGTAGGTGAGCTCTAGATTTGCCGCATGAAAAAAAAACCTCTTTGAGGTGCCAAGTTCATCAAGTGGTCGGATAACCAATGGAATGGCTTGTTACTCACTGCTACGGAAGGTAGTGATTACCTCTGGATTACCTCGTCCTATTTCCCTCGCCCCGGCTTCATCTGGAATGGATCTCGTAAAATGGGATGAATAAACATATCGTGTATGAAATATACTCAATACTAATTACATTAGTCGTTCCGCACATGGCCGAAGAACTATCCTGCTTGGCCCTTCTCTTCCTCTTCCTCCTGCTTATTACGATCCACTATCCACTGTCGGATGAACGTACTGCTAAGCTTATGTTGCTTCAAAAAGTTTGCGTCTTCATGGTCAAGACTGGCTGCTGTGGAGGATATGACGTCGATAATGAAGGTTTTGAGCTGAGATAATCCCTTCTCTTTCCGATGTTTGGCAACTTTTTACGATCGAGCAGTGTTATTCATAGAACGGAGTGTGGGGTAATAGAGGAAAGACATACTGGCGTCTGCACCACTCAATGTTTCCCTGCTGACAACGAGGGCTTGGATGTTGGGATCCCAGCCAGTTGGTCCGTAGACGTCAGTTATTGGGACAATATCGGCTTCGATATCAGGTTTGAAGAATTGAAGGAATTTGCGAACTTGCTCAGTGCGGGTTGAGAGGTTCTCCAGGACGTGTTTATTGGCTTTGTTTTGGAGGAGCACGTCATCTATGGCGCAAGAACACCAAGTCAACACATCATCCCACACGTAGAGGTGAGACCGAAGCGAAACCTGTTATGCCGACGATGAGCTTCTCGCAGGTGATAAATGCACCCATGGAGAGAAGGATCTTGTGCCCGGAATGCAGGTGGTCGAATGTACCGCCTAGTGCGGTGACGGGATAGAATGGCGGTAGAGGGTTTTCAGAGATGTCTGGAGTGCCTGGCAAAGTCACCAGTGGTGATTCCGAATCCCTCTCTCCGGGATGGATGTACCACTGTCTCAGAGCAGTGACGGAGCCGGGTAGCTGGACAGGTATTGAATCTGACCCAAAAGGAATTGAATAGTGGAGATCAGGAGGAGTGGGGCAATGGGAGGAAGTGAAACGCACCACCAGTGACGCGAAAGCAGACGCCGAGGTCTGCACCAAGATTGGGGTCCAAATCTTCGTTGAGGCCTTTGAGAAGGACATCGACGTGCATGAGGACCTTGTCCATGTCGTATGCGACCTTTGTTGCCTGGACATAGGTGAAGGTGAGGATCCGCTGTACGGCATCCCAGCATTCTGTCCGCGACAGGGATTGGGTCTCAGCAAAAGTAAGGAGGTCGTTCTTGGTTGAGGCCTTCCTCGGGTATTGGACATTAAAGTGGCGTGAAAAGAGGACGACGATGAGTCTCTTGCGGGTGTTGGTGGTGGCGGTGGTTATAACGGGAGCAAGAAAGGTGGGGACGGAGAGATTGGGGAGGGTGGCGAAGAGGATGGCATTGTCGACGATCTCTGGAGAACAGGGGAAGGGCGCGGTAGGGTCGCCGGTCGGTTGCATGATGCAATGAGAGAACCCGAGTCGCCGTCATGTAATCTAATCTCGACCGTGGGAAGGGTTCTCTGGAAAGGGAAAGCTTTTGCTACGAGTCTCTTTATTTCTTTTATTTCTTTTTCAATGTCCTCAACACCACACTCCTTGGTATTCAATTCTAATCTCCACAGAAACTCGATTGGCTCCAGCCAGCTTCCTCTTCCGAGCGGCCTCAATGCCCCGGCTGCCCAGCGACCTGCGGGTGGCACTCCCACGAGCCCAACTCAACCTCGCCCAAGCTCACCTCGCCCGTTCGGCTCCTCCCCACAGTCGCCCATAATCTCCTCCTTTTCTGTCCCACATCCTCCTCAAGTGCACAGCTCAACTCATGCCATCGGTGTCCAGCCCTCTGCTGCTTTTTTCCGCCCCTCGCGGCCACCCCAGCAGCCTCAGTATTCACGCTCAAACTCGCCTTCATCTATGAATGGTCCGACCGACGAGCAATTCCAACTCGCGCCCATGAACGGCGGCTATAGCACCGATGACCATCACATTGCTGAGAGCATCACTGGCGCCGGAACGGAGAGCGTTCACGAACATCAGCAGTTCATGAGTCTCAAGCGCATAAAGAAGAGTCGCGAGCCTCTGCTGCCTGCCCCTCCAGGCTTCAATTCAAGGCCTTCTGGCATCAATCTAAATTCGAATCCCATCTCGCCTGCCTCCCGCCTCATGCGTAACAGCCTCGACCGCGTGTTTACCCTAGGTCGTGGCCTAAGCTTTGACTCTATCCGGAAATCCAATCATTCACGTACCCCTCCAATACCACAGTCTGCTGATCGTCGCCAGACATTTGAGACCAAAGTCAGCGACGAGGACCATGCCTATTTACCATCACATTACAAAGGGCCTTCCCCTGATCCGCAAAGGAATTCTGCCCTTCTCTCTGCGCCATCTCTTTCCCCTGATCCGTCCTTTATACCCACCCCGCCTGACCGGAGACCACCCTTAATAGCTGTCCCAACTGTCGACCCCCAAACTCACAAACGAATTCGCCGGTGGCAGCAGCATCCTTCAAGAAACAGATTCTTTTTCGATGGAAGGATATTGACCGGTGGAGACACTCCATGGGCGTTTATCGCCTCTTTTTCTCTCGTGCTTGGTATTGCTGGAGTATGGTTCGGCACAACTGCTGTTTGGTGGTGGCATAATGAGAGTCCAGCCGTGGCAGCCATTGGTGCTTATATGGCATTGCTGACCATCACGACGATGCTTGCTACAGTACGTGATTCCTTGTTTTCTCTGTCTCAAATTTGAACATTTAAATTTCAGGCAACCACCGATCCTGGAATCTTACCCCGCGACTTAGACCCTGACCCACCTTATCCTGCAACATCGCCTTCGGATGGGGGCATGCGGGCGCCTATGCCCCGAGACCTCAAGG